GAGTCTCTTGAGAGTCACAAACAAATCTTCACACTAATTAAACGAACTAATTGTCTCCTGCAAACACCACTCCCCTTTCGCTCCTTTAATATTCCCTATGAGAGGGTCCAATCACCGTCCACCTGTGCCCTCACTCTTAAGTCGATCCTTGTTCCTTAGCTGTTCCCTTCCTCTGGCAGCTCTGTGCATGCGCACACTGGGAACAGGCTCCAGCTGTTCTTCTTCCCCACTGATCTGCGACTCTGAAGGCAGCTGATAACTGTCGGATGGCCCTGGCCTCATCTCTGCCTCCGATGCAGAGCCCTTGTCCGAGCCTTCCCCAGGCTCCAGGACTGGCCCAGGTTCCTCCCCAACCTCCTCACTGTCTGTGTCTGCCACCAGCTCTGCTGGCCGCTGGTGGGCCACAACATCCGCTTAACTGGAACTTAGTGGGGCGGAACTGATTTTTCATGGCTGAGGCAAATGGACACAAAACATTTTCTATGCACATTTTATAGTTGCCAACAGAAAGAAGGCGGGGGGTGGTGTGGAGTTTCAAAGACCAGGTAGCAGTGTGGAATCGAAAGTACATTCCATTCATATTTTCTTCAAAGACTGATTGGATGACTGAAGCTTCTGTGGCGCAAAAAGTCTAATTGGAGAGCATGATTGATGACTCTTGGCTATGGAGGTGTCCCGTTGGAGAATATGAATTACGATGCACCCAGAGGGGTGGGGGAAAAAATCAGGGTCAAGGGTGACAGCGAATGACGTGTCTCAGAGTCGGCTACGCCCAGGTCACGCCAACATGTTGACTTCCAATAAATCCTTGGAAGTTTTGGGAGTTTGGCTCAAAGACTCATAATTTAATTGGAGGCACTGCTGGAATCCTGACACTAAACGCTACCAGACAGAAGTGGACGGAAAAGCCCTCCCCCCCAAATTCACCTACCGCAATTTCTCGCAGAAAATGTTGTCTACGTTCCAAAGGAGGAAGCCCAGCAAAAAAATAGTCAGGGATGTGTATCCCAACCCTCGGAGCCAAGGGTAAACCCTGGAAGGAAGAACAAGGTTAAATCTCTCACAGCCACTTTGGACTGCATATTATTGTGCTATTTTTTATTTTTATTTTTTGGGGTGGGCGGGGCAGGGCTTCCTAGGGAAGGTTCATTTGTATTCTGCAAGGCAGATTGGGAGGGTGGGTACAGGTAGTCCTCGATTTACGACCGCAATCGAGCCCAACATTTACGTTCAGTGAACAACCTGTTCAGTGAGTTTCACTCGCATTTTACGACTTTTCTCACCATGTTTATTAAGTGCTGCCGTTAATCACTACTGTTGTTAATTAGTCACACCGTTGTTAAGTGAATCTGGCTTCCTCCCCTTGACTGTGCTTGTCAGAAGGTCGCAAAAGGGGATCACACGACCCCGGGACACTGCAACAGGCCTAAGTACATGCCAGTTGTCAAGCGGCCAAATTTTGATCACGTGACTGTAGGGGTGATGCAACGGCCGGAAGTGTGAAAAAAATGGTCACAAGTCCCTTTCTTCAGTGCCACTGTATCTTCGAATGGTCACTAACTGAACTGTTAGAAGTCTACCTGTATGCAGCATCAAAGGAGCAACACCTGGACGGAGAAACTCCCGGGCACTTTGCCACTCGGTGACTCATCTAGCAAAACTGAGCTCCCATTTTAACTCTGCAGCTGGGATCCCAATAGCTTACAAGCCACAGTGGTAAAGTTGTCGATACACAAACAACGGAGCTGTAGGCTATATTTTTTTTTCCCCTGGTTATGCAACCCACAGAACAAACCCCAAGCAGTGGAAAAACAGAAGGCTGAGCGTTATTCAGAAAACCAGCCATTCAAATTTCTTCCTCTGCAATTCACACCTTTGGCTTAAGCTGCAACCATCTGGTAGTTAAGTCCTTACTTACCATAACACTATATACACCGAGCGTAAGACTAGAACAGTGACCAATGTCCCATACATAACCTGAGGGGGAGTGGGAGAGAAAGAGAGAGAGGGAGAGGTTTTATGAAATGCAATATTAGTACAATATCCAACAAGCAGCATTTGTTTTTCCAGCAAAATCAGGCAAGATTACACTTCCTAGATTAGGAAGGGGTCAAGCTATTCTCCAAGGCACCTGAAGGCCAGACAAGGAATAATGGATGGAAACTGATCAAGGAGAGATTCAACCTGGAAATAAGGGGAAACTTTCTGACAGGGAGAACAATCCACCCATGGAACAGAAGTTGCCTTCGGAAGTTGTGGGAGTTTCATCACTTGAGACTTTCAAGAAGAGATTGGATTCCCACCTGTCAGAAATGGTGTAGGATCTCCTGCATGGGCAGGGGGGGGGGGTTGGACTAGATGAACTACAAGGTCCCAACTCTGTTATTCTGTTATTCTAATCAGTGGAACAGCTTACTTCGAGAAGTTGTGGGAGAGTCATCACTAGAGACTTTCAAGAAGAGACTGGACTGCCATCTGTCAGAAATGGTGTAGGGTCTCCTGCTTGGGCAGGGGGTTGGACTAGATGACCTACAAGCTCCCTTCCAATTCTGTTATTTTGTTATTATTCTGTTACTCAGAAGTTGTGGGAGCTTCATCCCTGGAAGCTTTCAAGAAGATACTTGACCGCCATCTGTCAGAAATGGTGTAGGGTCTCCTGCTTAGGCCGGGGGGGGGGGGGGTTGGACTAGATGACCTACAAGGACCCTTCCCACTCTGTTCATCTGTCTCTGTATCCTTTACCGATACATTTCATCTGGTTTTTGAATGAACATTTCAACCATTTTCAATTTTGAATGAAATGAGGCTGAAACGAACCTAATGGTTTTAGGTTCTGTCCTGCCCCTGGTGAAGACACTCTGAGGGAGAGGAGGAACAGCCGACAGGAAGTGGAGGTGTGGCTCCGGGGGTTGTGGAGGAGGCTGGGGAAGGGCAGAGGCCGGCTGGGTAGTCAGAGAAAGAACCAGGCCCATCCCTTCTTCATCCTAGGACACACAGGGAGCAATGGAGAAGGAAACAACTTGGCTTATGAGAGAGGAAGCGGCCATGATCTCCCTCATTGGTTGCAGCTGGGGAGAATAATATATAAGAGACACAGTTACAACACAGCGTTGCCAGAAGCAAAGCATGTGTTATTTTAGGCTGAAGTTATCTTGGTTGACGTCCTTCCAACAGACTCTGCCTTGTTATCTCCTTGAAGTTTGGTAATTACTTATCCTGGTTCGTTGTGGAAATTATGTCATTTTAGTTTGTTTGGTTTTTTATTTCATCTCTACCTGCTCATTAAGTTCGGACTGTATTGCTTTCTTTTAAAGACTATTTCTGAATAAGTTTTATCTCCAACGGGGAATTATTGAACAGTGGGGCCAGGTTGGAGGCATTAAAGGACACTTATTTACGTTTTGGATTTTGTTACGTTTGGGTTACACTCCGGGTCGTCACAGGAAATGTGAAGTCTAAAAATCGAGATAAAGTGCGTGGCGTAGGATAAACTGTTTCTGGCTTGTCAGAAGGTCGCAAAAGGGGATCTCATGACACACACACACACACACCCAGGACATGTCATAAATAGCAGCCAGTTGCTCCGCGCCCGAATTTTGGTCACGTGACCAATGGGATGATGCGATGGTGGTCAGTGGGGGGAAAAAACGGTCGTAAGTCTCTTTTTTCCAGTGCTGTTGTAACTTCAAGCTAAGAGAAACATTTGTGAATCAAGGACTAACTCTATGGATCAATTCTCGAGGCATGAATCCTTCGGCAGCTTGCTGCGATCTCCTTAAGCGGTCCAAAAGGCATAAACGAAAGCTTGCCATAGGTAGTCCTCGGCTTACAGCAGTTCATTTAGTGACCATACAAAGTTACAATGGCACCAACAAAAAAAGGAGAGAGACTTATATTCGTTTTACACAGGTACGACCATTCCAGCATCCCTGTGGTCGCCTGATCAAAATTCAGGCGCTTGGCAACTGATTCGTATTTATGAATTTATATTGTTTTATTTGTTCCCTAGTATGATTTGATTGCTTATTAGTTATCTGTGGCTATCACTAAGTGTTGTATCTTATGATTCTTGATGAATGTATTTTATTTTTTCTTTATGTACACTGAGCGCTTCTGCACCAAAGACAAATTCCTTGTGTGCCCAATGACACTTGACCAATAAAGAATTCTATTCTATTCTATTCTATTCTATTCTATTCTATTCTATTCTAT